GGGGGGGGGGGGGGGGGGGGGGTCAAATGCAATTACTTTATAATTACAATACTTTTTTTCTCTGTTGAACAAAGAAGAAGATATTTTGAGACATCGGTTTGGTTTCCAACATTCTTCAGAACGACTTCTTTTTTGTTTAACTGAAAAGAGGAAGTCATACGAGTTTGGAAAGTAAAATAATGACATTTTGGGGTGAAGCATCACTTTAGAGCCCAAATTCAGATCTTTGCTCCTATTGTTTCAGCGGAATAAAAGCATCCATATGTGCCATCAGCGTGATGCTGATCAGTGTGTTTGTGAAATCCATTAAGTGCGGTCAGAGCCATACACCTGCTGTACAGTAACACAACAGCCCTCAGCGACGCTGTCAACACTTCACAACATCACAACATCACTGCTGCTAATGACAGAGATGCTTTGTGTGTGTGTGTGTGTGTGAGGTGCTGTATTCTTCAGCTGTTACACACACACACACACACACACACATGATGAAAACCTTTGGGTGACATAGAGTGTTAATTTATTTGTGTTGAATTCAAAACCATTATTATTCTCTTTTTGTAATTTAGGACTCATTTCAGATTAGGACAGTTCTTAAATTGTGAAATATTATGAGAGAAATTAATTATATATATATATAGTTGCCAAAGCATTATACACAAGACAAATAATGACAAAAAAATACTATATAACAATAACAAATAACGTTATAATAATGATTGAAAATTGTTCAAATATGGTGCTAATTAACAAATAAAATATAATAATATAACCAATATAATAGACATTTATCAAGACATAAACAAAAAATGCTGTGATATAGGCTATGCACAAGCACAATGTTGGTCTTTGGTTATATTGATTGATCAAGGATCATTCTCGCTCACGGAGAAAAAAATATATATATTTTCTGGAATCACAAACAAAATAAACAGGCCTAAGTGATAATAAAGAGGCTGTTTTGAAGATGTTGCGTTGAACACGCGATATAAATATAAAGCGTAAATATCTCTATCCCACCGTGCATTCTGTCATAGAGCTGTTATTCTGGTGGAAAACGCATCGGTTGGTTTGTGAAGCGATGAGCGAGACGTGACGAAAGCGGAATATGATGATGATGATGATGATGATGAGGAGGACACCAGCGCGAGCTGAGTCTGACGACAGCAGAGTTTCGCCTTTCACCCGAGGAAAAAAAAGTTGCAGGATCTTCCAGAAGGACCTTCGAGCTTAAACGACATCGAGACCTCGAGTCAATCACAGCCAAACCGAGCGTTACCAAAGCAGGAGCTTGTTTTATTTCATTCAAAAGTTCATTCATCATTTATGGATCTGCGGTGACCCGATGCGCGCACCAAACATCCAGAGCTGAAACCAGGTACCAAACAAACCCGAACTCATGAATGAGCGTTTCAACGGCACGCTTTTCTGTTTCTATCTAGCGTGCTATTTATACGCAGAAACGGACTTTGGCGTTCTTGTGATACGCATTTGGTAGGTTTAGGGGTGTGGGGTAGGTGCGTATTATACGCACGCCAACAAAGTGCGTATCACATGCATGCAAAAACGGAGTATTATATGCACGTCAAACACGTGCGTACCCTATGCACGCCAAAGTCCGTTTCTACGTATAAATAGCATGTTAAATACAAAAGAAAATGTGTTGTTGAAAGGCCTATAGGCATTTTTATGAGACAGGGCTCACCGAACAGAGCTTGCGCAGCCTTATAGCCAGACCAGGCTTTGTTTTGATGTGTTGTTTGCTTGTGTTTTTCAAGTGATGGCATCTTACCATAGCTTGGACGATGACGCAATGGCTTTGATGGTCCACGACACGAACGCGGTGAAGAAAGAAGAGTTCGCGAAGGACGCGCCGCTCCAAGAGCCGAGTTCTGAGAAGGTGGATGCGTCTCAGAAGCCGCCTTACTCCTACGTGGCTCTGATCGCCATGGCCATCCGGGAAAGCGCGGAAAAGAGACTGACCCTCTCCGGTATCTACCAGTACATCATCACCAAATTCCCTTTCTACGAGAAAAACAAGAAGGGCTGGCAAAACAGCATCCGACACAACTTGAGTCTCAACGAATGCTTCATTAAAGTTCCGCGTGAAGGCGGAGGGGAGCGCAAAGGCAACTACTGGACTCTGGATCCGGCTTGCGAGGATATGTTCGAGAAGGGCAACTACCGGCGCCGGAGGCGCATGAAGCGGCCTTTCAGACCGCCAGCGGCTCACTTCCAGCCGGGTAAGGCTCTCTTCGGCGGGGAGGCATACGGTAGCTTCCTCCCCGCGCCCAAGTATCTCCAAACCGGCTTCATGAACAACAGCTGGCCGCTTGCGCAACCGGCGCCACCGATGAGTTACGCGTCTTGCCAGATAGCCAACGGCAATATGGGTGTCATGAAAGGGCTGTCAGGTCCGTCTTACAACCCCTACAGTCGAATGCAAGCCATGGGGCTGCCGAACATGATGAACTCGTACAGCGGGATGGGGCATCACCAGCACCAGGCGCCGCCGGCGGCGCAGCAGCCCTCCCCGGTTCCGTCCAACTCCGCGGCCGCTCTGCAGTTCACCTGCTCCCGCCAGCCGCCAGAGCTCTACTCGTACTGGGACCACGAGGTCAAAAACTCCTCGTTGCACTCACGGATTGACATTTGAACCGAGGGAATGCGCGAAGGGGACTTGGATCTGCGTCTGTTTTACGCATCCAGCAAGGTAAACAGGGTGACTTTTTATTGCTGAAGAACAAACACAGATCTAAACTATCTCAGTCCCCATAGATGCTCTGGACTGCATGGATAAAGTTTTTTTATTATTCTAAATGCGTAGTTTTTGATGTGATCGCTTCAGGATAAACACGTTTTATCTTCAGTTTCCTGATCGAAAATTCATTTGAGGACAGAATAGAACGAAAAGCATGGGCGAGATTGTTTGGGACCATTGTGAAACAAACACAGATCTAAACTATCTCAGTCCCCATAGATGCTCTGGACTGCATGGATAAAGTTTTTTTTATTATTCTAAATGCGTAGTTTTTGATGTGATCGCTTCAGGATAAACACGTTTTATCTTCAGTTTCCTGATCGAAAATTCATTTGAGGACAGAATAGAACGAAAAGCATGGGCGAGATTGTTTGGGACCATTGTGTTTTTTACATTTTGGATTGTCAAACCAGCACTTAATAATTTCTATTTGCTTTCAATAAACTGTTTTGATTAAAATGTCTTCGACACTCGATATACGATGGTCAATAAAAAAAAGTGTAATGCGCATTTTTTAAAATAAAGCGTGTTTATTGGCATCAGTAGTTAACTTTTAACATCCATGCAATCTTTCTATTGCACTAAATGTTCTTTATATTAAAACAAGTTTTTTAGATTATTAAAATGTTCTTAACACTAAGAAAAAATGGTTCTTTTAAGAAATGTTCTTTGAGCAACCAAAACTGGTTCTTCTGTTGCGTCACTGCAAAAGAAAAACAGCCCTTTGTTTTCAAGAGTGTATTCAGCCAAACATCTTTATTATTTAATTCTAGAACGACTCTTCCGTGTCATTTGGATATGGAAAGATCAGAATCACAGATTTCAGCTTGTTAGGTATTATTTTTTTCAGAAAGATCTTTTTAAAGCATTGAGAAAGAAGCTAGATGTGAGAAGTTCAGTCTGTGCTGTTATTCTAAATACTAAAAGATACACTTTTTACAAATAAAGAGATAAAATGACATCAAAACGCGCTTTAAAATAATAAGAAAAACCCTTGATTAGAATAACTGATATCCCTGCTTCTGGCGAAAGATTTGATTATGATAATGATTATGATAATGAATCAGAGTAAATGTAATTGTAAGGGTCCGTGTAAACAAACAGAGTAAATAAACTCAATTCATATAATGTGTCAGTGTTTATGGAGTTCTGTCACGATCTCTGGACAAATGTTTACAAGAAAACCTAATCTTATCGTTCTAGTTCAAAACCATGTTTGGATTTTGATTTAAAGAACCTATTATTAAAAAAGAAAGAAGAATTGGTCAATGCATTTTATTCATTTTATTTCGTTTCAGCAGATACACAAAAAAAGAAAATTTCTCGTGAACTTCAACATGTTGTTTTTATATTTAGTAGACAATTAAATCGTTGTTATCTAAGCCAAACACACGACAAGAAAACTCGAGAATTGTTCTTCTTTCTTTCAATAGGCCTGCTTGTTTTTTTAGCATGGCCGTGCATTTAATTTCAGTCTGGTTCTGGCTTTTCATACAAATATGAATAACTCATAAATACATCTCATCTGTTCGTCTGATGCAAATCGAATGTAAAAGTGAAAATCAAATCGTGTACAACTGCCGAAATTCTATTTTTAGAGCATATGCGAGAATAATAGGTCTATAACAGTATGTGGATTTTAGAAATAATATGGATTAAAAGTGATTGCATTAATAACAGAAGTGATTGATGCCAACAGAAGCAAGTGCCATTATTTTAATATGAATTCTGTAATAATGTTGGCAGTGAGCGTCTTTGTGATCAAGGCCTGCTTTAATGAGAAGTCGCGCTCCATATTTTCACATCAGAGAAAAACAACAGCTGAAAATCCTGCAGCGAGACTCGAGCAAACTGCAGTTCACCGGCTGGAAATCATCGAGACATGTATTTATTAGTTATTATTTGTTTGCCTTTGTTACATGAGCTAATCACGCAAACGTGCATCTCCTCAGATTTATTGCCTTATTGTTAAATGCAGCCAGACGATATGTTTTTATGCATTATAATGATAATAATATTTTTTTGGATACAGGCGTGATTCTGTTTATTGATCTTTGCGAATGAGCAGAAAGCAACCAAATACTGACACAAATCACTCATGCATTAAAATGCAAATCCTTTGCATTTTATCCTTCAGACCTTCCTTGAAAAGCTTGCATTAAAGTGTTTATTTGCATGCTCTGGTTACTCTTTAACATGGTGTACTTGTTACAGTGTAATTATAGGCTACATTAAAGTACTGAGTAATATTAATTAACTGCATGCACTTACGATAGCATTAAGGTTTGACTTAGGGTTACTGGCATGTATGCATAATTAATTGTTATTAGACTATATGCAAGTGCATGTAACGTGTAACAAAGGACACCTTAAAATAAACTGTTATCAGTCATTATTTATGTTTTGTTAAATATTTTCTGCATTTTCAATATTTATCCCACCGTAAACAGAGTCTGAACTTCCGCTGAGGGAAGCTTTGCTTTCAGAATCCGGTAATTGTGCAAAAACTGTATAAAGGCGAGTACAAGAACGGCTCAAATCACTCGTGTTTTATGTATATACGTGAATTTATATGACCGTGAACACGTGATGTAAATGATTCCACCTGCCAGGAGTGATTAAAAAGTGTAGGCTACTATATTATCCAAATAACTTGTTTTTTTTATTCTGGAACGACTCTTGCTTGTCATATATAGTATAGAAGGATCCGAAAATCACACAGATCTTCAATTAGTCTGATTTTATTCCAGAGCTTTTTCAGAAACATCTCATCAGGCCAAGGTTGGATTGTTTAATGTAAGGTGTTTTAATGAACTGATGAAGTGATGAATTTAGAAAATGAAATAAATGATGAATTAGTGATGTTCTGATCACTAGATGGCGCTATAAGCACATCACTAGCTATATATAGATGCACAGATTTCTGAATGATATATTTGAATATTTTGTTTTATTTTAATTAGTCAGATGAGTTAGTGCAGTGTGACTTTTAGTATAATGCTCTATTCACTGGTTAAATGCTTGAAATTAGTTTTGTGGACAAATATTAATCGTGTCTGCGAATGAATCTCTTCTCAAAAACTATACAAGTTTTGATTTTTCTATTTAATGTGTACAGTGAAAACATTGCAATGATAAACAACGATGTGATCTCATGAAAGCATGCAAAATAAATGTGCTAATTGCTTTTTAAAATATGAATAAAATATAAAAACACATTTAGCTACTTTCAAGAAGAATTTTATGCGAACTAGTTATACAGTATACAAAATTATCAATTTTCCCGTTCAGCCTAAGCCGTGTTATTAATTTCACATATATTTGGGCTGGTGCTGTTCA